TATGTCTGTACTGTAGTGAAGAGAAGAGAGGGATGGATACAATTGCTTGGAATAACCGTACTAAAGAAGAGAAAAATATTTTTGCAAAGTGTACAGTTCTGATCAAATTATGTTCTAAAGCTTTCTGTGTTCAGCAATGACAAGTGGAAAAGGAACATAAGGAAGGATGTGGCATCCATTGCAGAGAAAGTAATGATTAAAGATAAAACAGAGATCTGTAGCTGAGATACAAAATAATTTGAGTACTAATGTTTGCTAGCAGATTTTTATTTTCAACATATCTTTTCTTGGATTAAAAAAGGAAGAAAATATATAAGAAAAGACACCTGTTCAATACCCAATTCAGCTTATTATTGAAACTTACTGCAATAAAATGATGGAATAAAAATAACTTATGGAAATGTCCAAAATTTCTTTTTATATATTTTGTTATATTATGCTGTTTAAATAATTTTACTTGTGACAATGTAGCTATCATCAAATATAAATATTGTATCTATTTATATCTCACCTTTATTATAAATTATAAGTAATTCCAGACAGCCTCCTATTTTCTCCTCAACAACAACCCTGTGTAGGCTGAGAGAGTGACCAGCCCAATATCACCCAGCTGACTTTCATGCCTAAAACAGGACTAGAACTCACAGCCTCCTGATTTCTAGCTTAGCGTTTTAACCACTAGACCAAACTGGTTCTCATAAATTGATTGTCCAATGTGGACAAAATGAAACAAGGATGGGGGCAGGGGCAAAATATTGGCCACTTTTGAATGAAGCATCATATGAATGGCTCACCTGAAGAAGGGCATAGTTTTGACTTTTATTTAAATTTTCCACCCACTCACCTGGTTGGATGCTCTTAAATTGAAAGGAACAAGCAACATAAGAATGCATGGAAGATTGATTAATAGAGTTTACAATAGAATAATGAGCAAAATGATATCAATTAGAAAAGTCAGTTAAAGTCAGCTGGGAAAGACGCCTACTTATTTTCAATCATTTATCAATTTCTATTTGCAAATATTGATTTTAGATGTCTATGGAGATTCTCAGTTATCCAGGTCATGGTTGTCTCAAGGGTGATTTTTTCAAAAGGCAACTGGACTATGTCTCTTCCTTGAGAAAGATGTTTCACTTCTTATCCAAGAACTGATGAAGCTTCTTGGATGAGAAGCAAAACGTCTTCTTCTTCCTCAAGGAAAAAAACTTAGTCTGGTTGTGTTTTGAAAAAATGCACCTTCGAGTCATATTGATTTTAGATTTCAGATAATTGTCTTTTGGACAGGGAATAGCTGAAGTTTGATATTTCTCACCCTGAAAGACACGCTGGCTCTGAAATATGTAGGCAAAAGGAAAAGGAGAGCTCTTTATACCTCTCTTTAGTGAGGAATAATAACCGCTTATTTTATAAAATGCTGGGACAATGTAGCTTAAAAGGAACTCTTACAGCATGGCCTATCCAAACACAAATCAATCAAGAAAATCTTTAAATCCATTTCAATAGGAGATGATTTGAAAATCTGTTCTTGAGGAACAGTAATGGAAACCATATCCTGCACGGGGAAATAACTATACCTTGCGGGGATGGACTTCAACTATCCTGCATGCACATATGCAGTCTTTTCAAGGGAAATAAACCCCTTATATTCTTCCCTCCCAATGTTTCTATAAAATATTGACTTGGAAACAGAATGCTGTTTCTTAATTTTTAAATCTTTCTCAGCGAAGAGGGGGATTTTTAAAAATATATCTCACTAAGTACTTCCTGTATATGCAAGGGGGGCTCACAGGAGTTTGGGAGAACCCCTCGCTAAGATTTTGCACAGTTTGGAGAACCCCCAAATCCCACTCCTGTCTGACCCCGCCCACCCCTCCCCTCCCCTCCCAGGAATTTCCACACGGCCCCATTTTGGATGCAGGTAAGTGCAGGGCACGCGTGGAGGCTTGGGGTGGGGGGGCGAAAAACAGTCCTCCCAGAAGTTCAGGAAGACTGGAAACAGGCCCGTTTCCAGCTTCCAGAGAGCCTTCAGAGCCCGGGGAGGCCATTTTCACCCTCCCAGAGACTTGAGGAAAACCTCTGGAGCATGGGGAGAGCAAAAATGCCCCTCCCCACCATGATGCAGGAGGTTGAGTTGGCCACACCCACCATGGCCACACCCAGCCAGCAACCTGGCAGAGAACCCATTGCTAAAATTTTTGAAACCCACCCCTGTGTATATGCCATTACTTCATGCAATCCCCTTGAAATAAAATGAAATAATATTGAGAAGAAGGCGGAGCCTCCTCGCTGACGGACCGTAGATCGTGACTCTCTGCGGCTATGGTCCGTGCTCTTTCATTGGAGAGCCCCGATCATTACGATTAGGGGCTGAAGCTGCCTTGGAGGGGTGGTGGAGTAAGGGGAAGCTGCAAGCCAGGTTGAGGGGAGCTGCATCTCCCCCGCTGGGCTTGGTCTTTTTCCCCCCCAAAGACGACTGCAGCGGTGGTTTAAAATGGCCACCCCGAAGAGGAGGACTCAGCTGGATTAAGATTTGTGCAGGAGGGAAGAAAGAGGTGCATAACATCTGAACTGGGATAACTGGGTAATACAACTAAACAAAAGTACCCCGGGATTAAGGTAACATGGAATTTTTAAGAAAATAAAAGTGAGCGGCGAAATTACAAAGAGACAGGGGTAAAAAAAAGAAAATATTTTTGACAGCTAAGTGGGGCTTCGAACCGGGAAAGGAAGAAGCTGGAACTAAAGATTTAACTAAATTGGACTAAAATATTTTGGGAATAAACAGGCATAAAATAAGGCTGGGCTTAAGATTGTCAAATAATAATAATAATAATAATAAAATTTACAAATTGGAGACTGGACTGTGCTGGAATATTGAGGTTTGAAAAACCCTAAATAAAAAACTAAGGTGAAGACTTTGTATAATGGAGAGTGCCACCTTTTGTCAAAAACTTGAGCTCAAACAAAAAAGGAAAGCATCCTGTTTTTGAATGAACTTGTGTGGATATAACATTAAAGAAATATTGAAACAAAGTAAGAATCTTAGAAAGTGAAAGCAGAACCAGAATAAAGAAAAAAGCAAGGAAAGACTGACTGTGGGATTGATTGATGTTTTTGGTACAGACCCTGGGCTGGAATAACTGAGAACTTTAGAAAATTGAAAGAAGAAAGAAGGAAAGTAAAAGTGGTTTTTTTTTTTGTGGACTTTAACGATCAAAAAATATAAGAGTGTGTAATGATGATATCTCTTCGGGAATTAAAAATGGAACTTAAAAATATGAGAGAATTACTACAGGAAAGAGGCGAATCACTTTGCTCTGTGTTAGAAAAAATGGAAATGGCGATTGAAGAACAAGAAGAAAGAGCTTCAGAGGAGGAGGAGTCGATTCAAGGAGAAGACATTTCAAATAGACAATTAACACAAAGAACACTACAAAGAAGTGGGGAAAGAAGGAAGGTTAAGAAGGCAATCAAAAGGGGGAATACCTGTGAAGTCAGGAACGGCAGAAAGACCCAGCAGAAAAGGGAAAAGGAAGATATTAAGAAAGAGAGGGATATAAACTGGAATGAGAAAAGATATGGGGAAAAGAGGGGGAGGAGAAGCAGTAAGAAACAGGTGCATGAAATAAAGAAATATGGAAATAGTAAAATGTTGAAAAGAAATGGTTTTTTCAGAGATAATGGTTGATGAATTAAAAAGGGGATTCTGCAGGGCGACAAGGGGTAATAAGAATATTTCTGCAATTAAAAATATTTAGAAAATAGGGTTATATAGATACTGATAACTCTTATTAAAAATCAAGGGGGAGAAATATGCTGCGGAATCCAAATGAAAAGGTGTAATGATTATTACTGTAACTTCTTAAAAATAATGGTTTATTGGGAATTAAGATGAGGGAATAAAGGTATATTTTAATCATTGAGGTGTCACACTCAAAGCAGTAAAAGGGGGGGAAACCTATACTTGTTTTTTTTTTTACTGTTAGAATTTATAAAAAGAATGTGTAATGGAAAGGGAATATGACAGACTAAAGAACCAAATAAATTAATAAGTTAATATAGACTATTAAAAGCAAGGAGAGACATTGGTAACATTATTATTATTATTATTATTATTATTATTATTATTATTCAAACACATATTGTTTATCTTTATTTTTAAAATAAATATTAAAGGATTATATTTGAAATAATTGAAATGAAACAAAAAGATGTTTCGATTGAGATTAATGAAAGAGGCCAGAATTAATGTGTTTGTTTCTCTCCTTACTGAAAATTTGGAATGGAAAAGGTAATAATAGAATTAAGTATGCATATATGAATGTATAATTGCTATCATATTTGTATGTAAAGGTGATGACTCGGAAATATGTTGTCCACTAAAAAGAGAATTTTGTTTTTAGTGAAAAACTGAATGAAGTTTGTTAAAAAATAAAAAATAAAATGAAATAATATTATGCCATCTATCACTTGTTCTGAGGCCATGTTCCCTGTGAGCCTTTTGGTTGTTTATTTAATATTAACATTCTACTTATGGTGGACACCTGCTGTTAGTAGATTTTCAGGAGAAAGCTGTGGGGACTTCACACAGAACAGATGTTCATGTTAGTCCTAAATTTAGTCTCCTTAAATCTGTATGTACAGGTACGCTGTGCTTCCTTTACCTGTATTGCAGGCAACTGCCTTCCCAAAACCATAATATGCAAATCTTGAAGATACGTAGAAGCTGGATAATGTATATAAACTCAACAGTGTATATGTCATTTTATTCTATATGTCAATTTTGCAGCTGTCAGAGATGAATGTCTGATAAGAATAGGGGTTTGTTTCTGCCAACTAACTTTTTAAAATTCTCAGAGTACTTCAGAAATTTTTTGCTAACTACTACAGTGCGTGTGATTTGTTTTTATCAAGTGCAGAAATGCTGGTGTTTGAACACAATTCTTTTCATGACCCTGCTAACTAATTCATGTTTTTTCTTCCTTTGATACCTTTTATAGGTTCATCAGTAACACAGCTGCTTGCCCGTGACCTAGACAATGACCCCCTTGTATTTGGAGTAGTAGGGGAGGAAGCGAGCAGATTCTTTGCAGTGGAAAGCATGACTGGTGTCATTTGGCTCAGACAACCATTAGACAGAGAGGTAACCCAGAATGATTTGCATTAAACTGTAATATGTATTACAACTTGCGCCCTTCTTCACACTGCATTCAGCACCCAGCTGACCTTAGCTGACTTTGAAAAGTTAAATAAAATTAGTATTTGGATGGAAGACCATTAGGGAAACCCCAGGGTTACAGGCTGGGTTGCAAAGTAGAAAAAATATCTTGCTAGAAGGCAAAAATCAAACCACTTCAAGTTTTCTAAAGAAAATTCCCCTTTTGCGATTATTATTATTATTATTATTATTATTATTATTATTATTATTATTATCATCATCATCATCATCATCATCATTACCATCATTCATTAATCTTTAGTGAGATTGACAGCCTTTGGGGCTGATTGATAGCTCAACAGCTCAAGTCCTAACCAAGGACCTAGGAACTGTTCAGGTAGCATTGGAGGATATAAGCTGTTCCATGTAGTGTGTTTTTTTGTAAAATCATGGTATTCAAGTCTGATAAATTCAGAATTTCCAACTAGCGAGGTAGCCCTTTAGGTATTGCTCCAGGGGGGTCCAATTACAATTGGGATAACACATGATTTCTTTTTCCAAAGTCGCTCAACTTCAATTTGTAAGTCCTGATACTTTGTAATTTTTTCTTGCTGCATGTCTTCAATTGATTTTTTCTTTCTGTGTGTCTTCAATGTAATATTATTTATTATTATTATTATTATTGCATTTATGTTGAATTTTAAAATCATTACAATTTTAAATTTGCTTATAGGCATTATATGTTAATAATGGCAGCAAATATATTTGTAGCCTATAAATAAAGAAAGGAGAAGAGGGGGAAAGGAGAGATCAAATATTTTGAATGAAATACTAAACTATATATTGAAAAAAATCTACAGCTAGTCCTTGATTTATGACAATTGAGGACAAAATGTCAGGTGTAGGTCAATGTGGTTGTAAGTCAAATCCTCATATGACAAGACCTGATTTCCAGTGGATCACAGGGTCATTAAACGAATTCAGCTTCCCCAATGGACATTTTTAACAGAAACTGGCAAAAGAAGATGGTAAATCACAATCACGGGACTGCGGGATGCTGCAACTAGTTGCAAATGCAAGTCTGTTGCCAATATCCGAAATTGTGATCAAATGACCACGGGGATGGTGCCACAATCATAAGTGCCAGAACATATTATGAAGCACTTTTTCCAAGATCATTATAACTTTGAACATTATTAAAGAAACAATCATAACTCAAGGACTACCAGTATCTCTTTTTATTTGTACTGTGTTCTGTTCAGGGAGATCCTTAAACCAGATCAGATTGTTTTTCCAATTGATTCAGATTCTGGGTCCAGATTCTGGATCTAGACTCTGGGCTTTTAAGCCTAGAGAATGGAAGCAAAGAATGGACCATATAGGATAAACATTATTTGGAATTCAATTAAAACCTTTATTGTCAGAATACAACATGTGTACAATGAGATTGGCTCAGCCTCCCTTTGTGCACACTCCCAACACAATACAATTCACAGTGACAGACAGAAAATCCCTAACCCAGTGACCCCTACTAACAAACACACAAACCTATTGCACCATGTGAACTTATTGCATGTCATGCCGGCCCCGCAAGTCAATCATACTATGTTGTTGCAAAGTTATTTTATCTAGGCTGACTCCATTTCTGTTCTAGTCTATCATCTTCATGTTCTACAACATTATTTCCTTAGATATTATTTTGTTCGTTTGCTGTTATAGGAGCTGAAACAAGACCCTTTCAGGTAGAGAAGGAAGGAGAGAATGGAAGAAATCATACGTCTATTTTGAACAAAAGGACAATGACTCCCTAAAGCTTGGCATTTGACTTTCACACACTTCATGCATTGAGTCAGGAGCTAAATCCTTTATGAGCTCTTCTTAGCTTTCATTAGTGTTCATGGGAAGAAAGCTGGTGTTTTAGTAGAATGTTCTTGGATCTTTCTCCAGAATAAACAGTCAAAGGGAAAAGGGAACATAAGCGTCTATACCTAACTCCAGTAATACCATGTGACAACACATGAGTAGTGACATCATAGTGCCCTTCCATACAAGTGGTGGAGAGTTGATTTCATCAGACTATAATTCACAATTCATTACTTCCCTATCTTGCTGCTGTAGATGTCCATGGGACTGAAACTTGAGGCTTCAGTATCTAGCAGTTTACCACCTAACCCAGAGGTCTCCAAGCTATGCTGACTGAGGAATTCTGGGAGTTGAAGTCCACAAGTCTTAAAGTTGCCAAGTTTGGGGACCCCTGATCTAACCCAATAATTCCAGGCTTCAAACATTATTTTCATTTCAGCTATTAGTTGGCAAGTAACCAACTACACATCACACAAAGTTATAATACATTTAATTTGATTTGCCTTAGGGGGATATGTGAACCAGATTACATTGACCTATTGAAAAAAGAAAAGAACCTAGCTGTAGTAAACAGTGGTTTAGTTCAAGGGGGAAAGACATTGTACCTGAATTGAGCTATGATAATAAGCTTCAAGCAGTGGACCCAGAAATGGGGGAAGGAATGGATAGAAGATGTACATCTGGAGATGACTGACTCATTCTTCTTATAACAATGTTATCATTGTGTTTGAATTCAACCATTTGAAAAAGGTCAAACTGCAGACTTGTTAGAGGATTAGACTCCTTTTATCATTTCAGTGTAACATGGCATACATGGGCACTTTGATTTTTACAATTATGTTACCCAATATTCAGATTGTTTTGCATTCTGTAAAAGAGCTCTTTAGATCTAACTACAACATCGTGACATAGAACTTACATTACTTTTTAAAAGCTGAATCTGTTGTTCATACTTATTCTGCTTTTCACACCCTACTGATCTAATTCTTTAATGAAAAAGTAGGTAACTTTAGCACTTCCCTACATTAATTAATTTATACCAACCCCTTTGATGTCTAGGTAAAATTATCCTACTATTGCAATCTTGCAGTGAGGTTTTCAGTTATTGCTGAGATACTGCTTCATCTTCTTCCCGGCCACAAAAGCATGTAATTATATTCGGCTCAAATCCAAAGCCTTCTATCAACAGATTACCACTGTGGCATCTCTAATTATATCATTTTTCTTTTCATTTCAGACGAAGTCAGAATTCACAGTTGAATTTTCTGTCAGTGACAGCCAAGGGGTAAGTGTAACATTTGTTCCATGATTTAAATGGAGACCAGAGTAGAGCTGATATGGAGAGGTCACACTATGGGGAGGAGAGGAAAGCTGTCACAATCCCACCCTCTTTCTGAAGGAATCCTCCCAGGGATACAGCAGTGTGATTGTTGTAAGAGAAACAGGTGGATATCTCAGGCATTCGCTCCTTCTGTACAGCAGCTTATGAAATGGTGTGGAAGTCCCACCATCTGTTTCCCTCTCCAGTCATATTATGAAGTGTAAACTTTAGGGAACAAGGCAGTTTTGGTCTCTGGGTCTGTTTTCTCTCCTATTTGTAAAGTAGAAGCATGGCACACCGTGGGACAACCTGTTGTGTTATATAGAAGCTCATACTGTACTCAAGAAATATTGAGGCTTAGGTCAGTTAAGTGTAAAGCTGGTGTGATTTACAGATATGGACAGCTTCAAAGTCACTTGTGATAAGCCTGGAAATGCTTTGAAAAACATCCCTTATATTAGAATAACTAATATAGAATAACTATATTTATGGAATATAGATCCACCTTAGGAAAATCCACATTTAAATAGCCATTTTTTTGTTAGGGCAACAAAAATGTGATTTTTTTTAAAAAATTAGAAAAATGTTCAATTATGGAGAAAGTTCTGTCTTTAAAGCAGTGGTTTTGGATTCTGTTTTTTTTTTTTCCTGCCTGGTCTTTTGTATAAATAAGTTCATATAGGTTCACAGGTCCCCACAAATACGTAAGAATAACTTCAAAACAATCCATTCTAAAAATGAAACATGTTTTCTTCTTTTTCTAGCCACCCTGAAAATATTCAGCAGATAGTGTGGCAATTATTCTTATATAATAATATATAAAGTAAATGTCAGAATATTGTATTTACTATGTACCAAAAATCAAGTCATGCATAAATGTTGAAAACACAAATATGAAGTTCTCTTGCAACATACATGTTTCACTTGTGAATAAAACACTTATGTACAATCTCTCTGCTATAAAGAAAGGATCTTTAATATCATATGACATCAACTTGGTGGAAGATATCTGATATCACCCTTTAATAATAAATACCACACTAGTTATATGGATTCCATGCTTTATTTCAATTAAGTTAGATTTTAAAAATTGAACTTCTGCTGTGTTTAAAGAGGGTCACCACTGGCAGCAGATTCAACTCATCATATTGAAGGAATAATGAGTGATACATGGGAATGATGCATATTAGTTTTAGCTAGAAAGTAGATTAAGTTGGTTAATATGGAATGACTATCACCATTGCAATCCCAAGCCTTAAATTGTGGATCCAGCATTCACAATTCCAAAATTCTTTGAGTAGTTAATGAAGGCTCTCATTCATAACTGAAAGGGATTCAAAATAAGAATTCCTAGAATCCAGTTCTCCTTTTTACACAGAGATAATTTTCCTACAGTAGTAATGCTTATTAACTTTTTCAATTTTTTTGAATATTGTTACCCCTGCAATTGAAGAAATTGTTGCAATTATAGTAACTTTGCTCCAAATCATTTTGATCGTAGGTGATAAAGGGGTCTGTGAATATTCAAGTTGGAGATGTCAATGACAACACACCAAGATTTCACAATCAACCATACAGTGTCCGCATCCCTGAGGTATGAACTCATTGATTATTTTGCTTAGTAGAATTCCCATCTTTTCTTTTCTTCAAAGAATGATTTATTATAATTGGAACCTTCTTTAACTAACTGAAGAATAATGTTTCTCATATATGATCAGAGAACTATATGTTCTATCCCTATCCATCGTCTTAAGTGGAGCAAGTGATGGAGTCATATTTCTATAAAAATCTTGATCATTTTTATACTAAGTAGTCTTGCCACAAAATATTATAACATGGAACCTTCCTGTATGTTATTTCCATTCTGCCAAAGGGTGTGTGATCTATTTTTTCCCATTCAGTCAAAATTCTGTAACTACCAAACTCTTGTTTGATATATTTTGTGGATCCTATTGTTCATTATGGTTCTTGCTGTAAAAATGTTTTCATTTTCTGAAAAGTCTCAAAGTTTTTTTAAGGTTACTGACAATTTCCTATTGAATGAAACAGTGTGTTGTTGGCTTATACGGGCATTGGCACCTACATTTAAAAAGCAGAAGTAAAAATAGCAATAACAATAACACTTGGACTTATATACCACTTCACAGTGCTTCACAGCCCTCTCTAAGCGGTTTACAGAGTCAGCCTATTGCCCCCAACAATCTGGGTCCTCATTTGGCCCACCTCGGAAGGATGGGAAGGCAACCTTGAGCCAGTGAGAATCGAATTGCTGGCAATTGGTAGAATTAGCCCACAAATACTGCATTCTAACCATTGTGCCACCATGCCTCAATTATAATGGTCTTTACTTTGAAAAAAATATCCTGAAAAAAATCATTTTGGTGAGTGTTATAAAAAATTGTTTGAAATACATAAATCCCTACCCAAGAGCTACATTCCTATGGTTCCTTGTGCTGTGGAAATAATAATCCAAAATTTTCTCAGATTTAGAGTAGAGTCTCAGTTTGAATTCCTAGTTTGGAAGGAATGAGAACCAAGGTGATGTTATTTAATCATAGGGATAGACAATTCATTCAGTGACATTTTCTTCAAACATGTATTTTAAGCCTAGCTACCTTTCAGTTAGAATTCCTAGTTCACAATAGAAAATCTTCTATGCATTTGTTTTGATATGCTTTTATAATCATTTTATCTTGAAACAGGTATTTTATGTTAAAATAGGTCATTTTATATAAGACTTTGTTGATTTTGACCCAAGAATTATATTACACATTTTGCAGAAGGGAATAATACTCCAATGGACGGATGCATTTCATTCCATGTATAATGTAAATCATGTTGGTTCTCTGGAAACTGCCAATTGAAATTTGGAGTATTATTTGTTTCTAATTCATTTTCAATCTAACAGCATTTTGTGGAAACAAGAGATGTTGGTGATAGTTATCCCTGGATCATTTTTGTTGGTCTTTCTCAAGACAAATGAAGTCTACTTCCTCATGGCTACTTTTTTACAACACTGGAAAAAATGTAGAAAGTTGCTATCACAAAAGATATGCACAAGAAAAGTATGGACACAAATGTATGAGTTATCATGAGTTCTTTTTTTAAAAAAATGGAATTATTTAAAAGAAAAATCGAACAAAATTACATTTTTTCAGATTTCTCCTTTGCTACATTTCCATTTTTTAAACTGAAGTCTGTTATTTTTTTTTGTTTTTGATATAAATATTGCATTTATATAAAATTTTGAAATATGAATTTCTTATTACATAGAAAAAGGTCCAGGGGGACCTTTTTAAGGAGAAGAACCTATTTAAATCAATTAAAAAATATAAAACCACCTCAATTATTTGACTGTATAGAGAAGTGAGAAATAAATCAAATCAATAAACCATTCTCTAGGATTATAAAACCCTGTGAATTTAACTAAAATTATTTTTAAATTATTAGTATATGTTAGCGCACCTCAAATCTAAATCACTGTATGTAAATTTTACCAACACTGGAATGTAAAATTGTTGACTAAAAGCCAAATTGGATGTCATTTTGGAGATATCTCTATGACAGTAGTTTTATATGTTGCTAGTATTTTGGGTTTATAAATCCTGTAAAAAAAAACCTGCAGCACCATTACTACGCAAAGATTAAGGTGCATTTAAACTTTCCCCGTTTCCCCATTATTACCATTGGAATTGTCTTTTTCTGCAGACATGATATGTGACCCATAAAAGAAAAATGATGAGGCTCCAACCTTAATTGTTCCACCTTCTCGCTATCCCATTCCTGATAAACAGGAGATCTGACTGTAGTTGTCCCAGAATGTTTGGTATGGCTTTGAGACAACCTGAACAAATCATTTTAATAGCTTTGTTTTCCTGAATTCTAGGTCCATTAATCAGAGAAAAAGATGCTTTCCAGTCTCTCTCCTGCTTCTTGGAATTCAGACTGCTTTGTTCTCTACAGTTTAGTATTCCATTGTTTTATCTCTCTGCCTAATACAGATAATTTTACCATTCAATCAAGCTAGTGAGTGAGCAAGCAGGTGAACTTGTATGTGAGAGTGGGACTGTGAAATTGAGCCACCTGTAGTATTTTTAAAAGTAGCAATTATTACATTATTGATAATTGCTCCATTAATACATTTACTACCTGGCACCCCATTTTGATTAAACTTGACTCTTTGCTCTACTTTTGCGTGCGTGTAAGAATCCTTCATCAGCCTTCTTTGGGTAAAATGTAATCTCTGGTGCTTGACTTTATATCAGAAACAGTAAATCCTCTCTTCTAATTATTGCATTTGCTTTTAAAGCCATATGTTTCCAGGCTCAAAATACAAAATAATGGAGTTGGAAGGGACCTTGTAGTCTTCTCGTTCAATCCCCTGATCAAACAGGAGAATCTATACCATTCCAGAAAAATGGCTGTCCAATAGCTTCTTAAAAAATCTCCAGTGATGGAGCACCCACAACTTCTGAAGGCAAGCTCTTTCACTGGTTAATTGTTCTCACTGTTAGGAAGTTTTTCCTTAATTCCAGGGTGCTTCCCTCCTTGTTCAGTTTCCATCCATTACATCTTGTCCAGCCTTCAGGGGCTTTGGGGAACAGGTTGATTCCCTCTTCTCTGAGAGTCCCTCAAATATTGAAAGACTGCTATCATGTCACCCCTTAGTCCTTCTCCTTGTTAGCCTAGACATACTGAGTTCATGCAACCATTCATTATATATTTTAGCCTCCAGCCCTCTAATCATCTTTGTTGCTCTCCTCTCCACTCTTTCTAGAGTCTCAACATCTTTTTTTGTACCATGATGACCAAAAATGGATGTAACATTCCAAATGTGGTCTTACCAAAGCAGTATGAAGTGGTACGAACACTTCATAGTATCTCTCTGTTGAAGCAGCCTAGGACTATGTTTTTTCCCCTCAGAATTGATGTGGGCTATCCTAATTACCTGATAGGTTGCAATACAAATGCTAATTATACCATACAGACATTTTTTAGAACTTGTGATGGAATTTGGTGTTGTAAGAAGATGAAGCATGGAACTGCAAGAGCTACATACATTTTCATTCTTCACAATGTAATGAGAGCTCACATTGTCTCAGCTTGCATATTAGGTTTTGTCTAGCTGGGACAGTGTGATGATGTCCCAGAATATATAATTACAAAGAACACATTGAAAAGAGAAAAACAGCAATAGCAACTTCATGTCTTCTTTCCATCTTGTTATAGTTAACATCAGGCATAAATTGTGGCTCTCCAGAATCCTCCAGGAGAACCTTCAGAGACTCAACACACCTGCTAATATCTGTCCATTGCAGAACAGAAAAATCTCTCCTTTTTTGTATATGTGATGATTCTTCACAGTAAGAATCACTGCTTCCTTTTAAGGGTGACTCTGGAGAGGGAGCCTAGCTAGTCTCATTGTTATTTGTTTACTTTGAATATACTTTAAATATTAATATTTACGTTGAATATATCCCCACATAAACATCTCAAACAGTGAATAAAATTTAAATACTTCTATTTTGACTAAATTAAAATAAATTAATTGATCTCCTTTTGACCATTAATTGCTTTGGGCACCAGTCTAAAATATCAATAGTCTCCCTAGTAGTAAAAGGAAAACTACATGAAATCTTTGGATGTTTTCTCCCAATGATACTATTTAGGTCAAATAGGTAAGGAATCAGCATATATAACAGCTGAAGTGCTGAAAAAGAATCATTTAGCATTTCAGAAATCAGCCTGAAGGAAGAAAAAGAATATAGTATTTTACATGTTCATTCTAGCATGGTTGAAATAAACAAAGAAAGGGTTTTTTTTCATTGACCTTGTTTCTTTCATAGAGAATGGCAGAAATCCAGGCCTGAACTGAACTGAACCTTAGTTATTCAGTTGCCAACAGGAAATTATTCACCATAATGGGACCCCTAGAGGCCTCTTTATTAAAGAGTTAACCAGAATTTAATAAGCATTGATTAAATGTTAAAATTGCTTTCTGATAAAATAAATAAATTTCCAACTCGCATAAAAAAATAAGCTTTTGTTGATAGCTCCTCACCTTTACCAAAACCCTGCTTGAAGATAATAGGCATAAATACAGGGAAAAGAGTGTTTCTAATAGTAGAAGATACATTTCCCAAGAATATTAATCTTCATCTTGTTGATATTGGGAGTATTTGGAATGTATGAAAGTATTCAAAATTATGAAGCCTTTGTACAGCTGAGGATAACCAAAAGTATTGAAAGATGAATCTACCTCCAATTTCCAAGATTTGGAATGCATTTATATATCAGGAATGCCCATAGAGAGATCAGAAATGCATTGTTTGGGGATATGACTCTGCATATGAGCTTGAATGAACAGGATGCTGAGTTGGCTAAGAACAAGTGATTTGTAGCGAATGTTGACAAACTATTGATGCAGACATTTTTGTTCACAGACAGCAAAGTTATGCATAAATGGCAAAAGTTATATATTCTGGCTTATTAAAAGTGGGCACGTGGAGTACTTTTAAGATAAGGCTATGCAGATAGAAAAATAGTGAGTACTTATAGTCTGTTGTGAAAAAGCAGAACTTGGATATGTTAGAA